TATATATATATATATATATATATATACACTACCAAACGCCTATAGGCGAAAATGAATAGTGATTTCACCTACCCTCATCACCATCCAAAGTTCATTACACAGTCACAGTTGTTTCGTAGTATTTCATTTTTTATTTTTTATTTTAATAATTGGAATGATCTGAAATTTGAAGCAAGTGTACATCTTAGTGAGGCACATCTAATAAAAATATGGAAAAACAAATTCAAAAAATATAAATTGACCAAAATACCCTGTAAATTTTCAGGGGTATTTTGATCAATTTATATTTTACGAATTATTTTTTTCATATTTTTATTAGGCGCCCTTCACTAAGATGTATACACACTCCAAATTTCAAGTAATTTGTTTGATCCAAATTTTGAAATATACACTCTTTTCAGTCTAATGAACAATCACAAAAAAGAACAATTTGAAAACACAACCAAGAAAGTATATTTTTAGCCCAATTAAATAGGCCATTCATTTTAGTAAGATGCTTAGATCTAGGCCTTAGAAGGATTTTTTCATTTCCAATTTTTTTAGATGGCTTTATTATCATTAGATGAACAATGTTAAAAAAAGAAAAAAAATGATTTTGAGTTTTTAAAGGCTAAGATCTTGAAATTCACCAAATGAATTGTCTAGAGTCGTTGTTGGAGGGGACTTATTTTGATCATATCTAAGGTTTAAATTGAACATTTTTGTTTTGGAATTGATTATTGAGATGAAGAGAGTGTGTGCAAAATTTTGGGTCATACAAATTCCACAAACATGGTTTTCTAGACGTGTGGTTGTATTACTATGATACAATCGTTGCATTAGATCAATATATATATATATATATATATATCAATGATTTCATGCAACCATTGTATAGTAATATGATGCAACAATCTTGATAGTTATATATGTCAATGATTTCATGCAACCATTGTATAGTAATATGATGCAACAATCTTAAAAAACCATCTTATAGCCATTTTTTTGTTCCAAATTTTGAAGTATACAATACGCTCTTTTCATTATAATGAACAATTACAAAAAAGAAAAAATTGAAAATACAACCTAGAAAGTATATTTTTAGGCCAATTAACATAGGGCATTCATTTTGGTTAGATGCTTAGATATAGGCCTCAGAAGGATTTTTTCTCATTTCCAATTTTTTTGGATGGTTTTATTATCGTTAGATGAATGATGTTAAAAAATGAAAAATTGATTTTGAGTTTTTTAAGGCTAAGATCTTGAAATTCACAAAATAAATGGTCTAGATTTGTTTTTGGAAGGGACTCATTTTGACCATATTTAGGATTCAAATTGAACTTTTTTTTTGGGATTGATTGATAAGATGAACAGAGTGTGTGTGCAAAATTTGGGGTCATACAAATACCACAAACATAGTTTTCTAGAAGTGTCATTGCATTATACTATGATACAACCGTTGTATTGGACTATTGCTCATATATATATATATATATATATAGGAAAAAGATCCTGTCAGGTCAATAGTGTATTGCTATAGTAAACGCCAATGGCTCATATTCAATTTGGGCCGATCTGACGATCCCGAATATCCAGTAGTGTTTGAATTTTAATTTTTTTTCTACAAATCGAATGGATTTGAAATTTGGAGCGAACGTATATAAAAAATAGATGAATCTTTAAAAAATATAAAAAAAATATTTTACATGAAAAACATTGACTAAAATACCATTGTAAAGATTTAGGGGTATTTTTGGTTAATTTTTTTTCTTACGAATTATTTTTTTTATATTTTTATTAAGTGCGCCTTGATGAAAAAAAAATACTCCTAAAATTTCAAATGATTTGGATTTATAGAAAAAATATTAAAATTCAAACACGAAAAGATGTCGTGACCGTTAGATCGGCCTATAATCAATCTGGGCCATTGACGTTTATTGTAG